GACGGAGGTCGCCGGAAAAAGCCTCGAAAGTTCCGGCCAAAAGTGAACTCTTCGAAACTCGGTTGTTTCGACGTCCAAGCTTCTTCAAAAATATCCTAGGGGCCTCAGGGAGTTGTGGGAAGGTTTCCTCTACCTTCAAAACTCCTTAACTCGGCCTGAAATCCGATGAACTCAGATCATTGAGTTCGGACCTCACGAGTTCGACGTTGAAAACTCGTCCATTCTGGGTTTCAAGAACATGGTTGTAATCATGGGACTGAGATGAGTACAATGGAGAGGTTTTTGGGTTCAATCTATGAGCTTTGAAGCTCGCTTGAGGGTTTTGCAGAGAAAAAGAGTATACGGGGGAAAGAGATAGAGGGAATGAATAGAGAAAAAGTCATTTTTTCTCTTTTTCTGATTGGTGGACAGAAATGAGGGAATGGATGGGATTGGTGGAGTGCACGGGATGGGCTAAATAAAAAGCTAGGGATAGGGTTTTGGATTTTATACTGAAAAGAGTATCGAAAATCTATCCAGAATAATGTTTTCACATTGATAAAAATTTATGTACACTCATAACAACGTGTACAATTTAAATGCGATAGCGAGAAATAAAATAAAAGCGATATGAATACGTCCACATCACTTGCTAATAAGGGCATAACCGTCAATACACATACTAGGGGAAAAATTACATAGGAAAATTAGGGACGGGTCGTCATAATCATCTAGGTTTGAAATAAGTTGAATTTTTTTTTTTTTTTAAAACACTATATTATCTACACTAAAAAAGAAGGGTGTGGGTTTAGCTTCTTGCAATCGATACCATGAATTCTTATTTGGAGATGTCATGCACTTAGGGGATTAAGTAGATGCCATGACCATTAAATAACTTGGAGAAAATCGATTATCAATATTGGGTAATTACTTGTTCATAGCATATTAAGGGGATTAAGTAGAATTGGTTACGGTAAATTCGGATGCCCTAGGTCTGGTTTGTTTTTAAATTATTATTTCAATGTGTTTATTTTCAAGCTTAATTTAAATTTCCAGTTTAATTCAAATCTTCTCACTTTTATGTTAAAGCTTATCAACTATGATTTGTTTCAATTTGCTTAGTAAAACTTTTAGGATCAATTCGATCTGTGTGACTGTGGGGGACAATATTTATGCTTATTTGTTATACCATCATCTGATTTATATACTTACAAACCCTAAAATACGAGACTTATTGAAGTTAATTTTAATTAATTTAATTTTCTCAACAGAAACTGAGTTGGTTCAAATCCCATTAAGTCATTAACCCCACAAAGAATGAAAGAAGTCAAGTCACCGTTCCTTGTCCCCCATGTTGGGAAAGACATGTTTCAACGTCCATCATCCTCTAAAAGGAAAAGTGGTCTCTCACTCTGACTCTGATCATTCTCTACTTAGTGCTCGGAATAATTAACTGGTTTGAGTTTGCATCACATGATGAATAAACACCACACTCAAATTCCAACACAAAGCTTTTCCTCATGACCATGTTAAGGGACTGGGATTGGATTAGTGCAGTAGTTTACGTGGGATTGGAAAGGATAACATTAGTCTAATGTCATGTTTGGGGCTACACAAGAATGAGGAATTGGATTAATGAAAAATGCACTGGTGTTCCAAATTATTGAGTTCGGATTCTCTTGGGTTTTAGGCACATGGTTGGGTCTCGGGTCTGAGGTCATGCGATTGGAGTGGTTGGATTAAACGCTTGTTAAGTTCTTGTTGTAAAGTATAAAAAATCAATTGAAAAGTCTTATTCTTTCTAAGTTTCCCCATCAGAATATTTTGAGAGACTAACAAAAAATAAATAAAGATTAGCTAAATATACACTTTTGCCATCTTCCTAAAACTTTAATGAAGGGGTAATGCCAGGAAAATTTTGTCAAACTAAATGATGTGTCATCGATAAAAATGAATACGTTTATTAACGCTTAAGTCGTAATTTAATAATTAACTTCCATAGTTCCATGTCATTTAGTTTACAACATTTCGTCTCCCTAACATTACCTTTAATAAACCAATGAAAGAAGTATTGGTTAGTGTGAATTTTATTAATTGATTTCCTGTTTGGATGATTTGGATTATTCCCAATCATGGGTTTAATAAAGCAAAAAACAAAAAGAAGTATGAGCTAATGATCTTGCTTTATTTTTATTTACTTGAATTATAATATCAAGTTAAAAATCAGCCAAATGATCTTTAGGAGACAAATGGTTAGGAATTAGGACTAGCTGAAATTTTCGTTTTGGTAATTTCAAATTAGTCTCAATCTTATAAAATGTTCTAAATAATCACTTAATATTTTAAAAATAAGATATTTGGTAGGTTACCGGGGACTTTAACAATATTTATTGATGACATTAATAGCATTAAATGATAAGATGGACAAATACTAAAGTCGGTTTTCACTAATCGACATCTTCGGAGTTCTAATTCTTCGAATGACCCATTTTAGCCAAGTTAAACCATAAATTCTCTTAGCCAAATGGCGTCAATTTGGAGATTCAAATCTCCATAGATGACTTAAGAGTTAAAAACACGTTTAATATTTGTCCATGTCATCACTGAACTCTAGTGAACCTAACAGATGTCAATTTTTCAAAACTTTAGGTAGTTATTTGAAATATTTTAAAATGTTATGACCAATTTGAAATCAGTTCTAAAGATTAGTAGTTATCCAAACTTAACCCTTATTTTATCATGTAGCAAATTTTTATTGGGTGAATTATTCATTTTTAAACACATATGATCAGCTACTAAAACTATAAAATGAATAATTGCATGATAGACATCAAATGGATGTTATGCATAGATTTTCAAGTAAAAACGGTTTTCTTTTCTTTCTTCAAAGTGCGGTGTTAGGCACATAATTCCTTCTCGAAATGTTTGAAGATTGAAAAGTTGTGTGAATTGGAAATTATACGAACTATTTTAGTACCTTAACGTTTAATGTTGAGTATTCTACCACCATGACATGTTTTGCAATTTTTTATGGCTGATAATTTTAGCACACCAAATTTCATTTTGAAAGCTTTCTTCTGCAAATATTTTGGCACTTCAAAAGTCTCTTCTAGTTTTTAGCACTCCAAATTTCACTTTGCGTGGGACATTCTTGTGTGTAACTAGAAGTAATACTTTAGTTGTAATTTAGAATCTCTTCTCGCACGTAAAAAGTGTATTTAGTTATTTCGAGAGTGTCGATTTTTTATTATTTTATATGAATCTAATTAACCCTCTTATCATGGTTGAGTCATTGTTAACAAGTCTTATGTATACAAAGTAGTTTAGGATAATAAACCACCATTTTCACGGGTAAAAAGAACATAGGAAGTTATAGAAATGTAGTCACATTTGTGGGTCAACTAGACAGCCCTTAAGTATATTTTACTTCAAAGATCCAATAAAATTCACACGGGCATTGATCCTATCACTTAATTTCACTAATACAATAAATTATTTACTAACATTATCCAACAGTGTGATTGTCATGCTAAAAAATCTCTCTTTTTTACTCCTCTATCATATTTATTACAATACATAAATTACTAGTATCACATGGCCAATGTGATTGCCACGCTCAAAAGTTTCTCCTTTGACCTCTCTATCATCTTTATAATGCATAAATTATTAATATCATGTGACAATGTTACTATTATGCTTCAAAGTTTGGGAACTTTAACAAAATACTCATTGTATTGTTCACTTTAACGAAAAACCACATTTTTACACTAAAAAGTCAATCATTGTACTATTCACTTTACCTTTTATTTTATCCTTATCGTTAAAACTCAAAATTTTTAAGCATTTTCATTAGTTTTCTTTAAAAGTTTTTGTTTCTTTTCTCCACTACTTATAAAAGATTATTGAAAATATATAGAAACAATAAAATACGGCAGCACAAATTAATTAAGTTGGTAATCACAGTTTCATAATGCAAGACTAATTTGATCATCACCAACACCAAGCAATGACTAATATTAGGATAGGTTTGTAGTGACTAATATACCCTTGGTGGAGTATGAGTCTCATGGTAGTGTGGTGCGGTGGGTCAATGCAAACACGTAGCATGGATTAATCTTGTGTCGTTAATACCATTTGGCATTTTGGTGGAACCGCGTTTTGTGATTTATGGGGAGATTTATTGTGTTGTATAGACGGTCTGGTACATTAAGTGTCATAATACAAGTGATTAAGTAGCACTACTCGGAGTAATTGTTTTGCAAACAATTTGTAGATAAAATTTTACAAACTATATAACATGAAAATTGATAATTTGACTATTACTTAAGCATTGATAAACGTACTTGTTTCCTATTAGTTACACATCATTTAGTTTGCAAATTTTGTTTACAAATGTAATCTCCCTAGCATTACTTGAGCACTTCATTGAGAAACAATCTCAATTGTTTGTAAGTGAACAACTTAATGAAAAACGGTAAGACACTAGTTTGGTAAGAGTTTATATTGTATGAGTTTAATTTTCTCTCTTAATTGTTACCTAGTTGTCACTTAGTATTACGATTTAGTAGTATTTCTCTTCACTTATAAATGAGAGGTCTTAGGTTCGATTTTCCTCAAAGGAGAATTTGAACCATATTATTGCTAGCCCATTGTGAGGATAAACCCATCACTTTCCCTTAAGGTAGATAATATCGTTTGTTAAAAAAAAAAAAATATTACCTAGTTATTTGTGTAGTTTTATAAGTTTTGTTTTTTTTTTCCTTAAAATTTATATGTTAAAAGTTGAGATTCGTGCTTTTTTTCTTTTTGAAGAAATTAAATTATATGGAATTGTGTATTATTAATAACAAAAAGTTTTAAATAAATAATAAAAAATAAGATTTTTGAAGTGCTAATAACAGTTTCATAAAAAAAATCATCTTGTTTTAAAAATAAAATAAAATAAAATAATTTGACCCTCAAATTTCCCACTCTCTTTTCCTCAAAGTCTCAAAGCAAAAGCTAACTTCCAATCTTTGGTTTGTTAATTATTACTTCAATTTCTTTCACAAAACAACCACCAAATCGTCATCACTCTCAATCAAAACCCTTTCTTTCTTTCTTTCTTTCTTTCCATAATCCTCCAATCCTTGGTTTGATAATGGTTTAGGTTTGCCCCTTCCTTTTCCTCTCTCTCTCTCTTTTTCAACACTTGTGCTTGGTGGGTTGTGCGGCTGAGGTGAAAAATGGGCCCTAAACTCCACTGAGACATTTTAATGGCGAGAGGGGTCTCAATCTATTCCTCCACTTCTCTCTTTGCCTCCTACTCTTTGTGCTGCCTCGCATTTGGAGGTTTTGGGTTCTCTACCTTTTCGTCTTTTTGTTGAAAATATGAGATCTTTGGAGGTTTTGGGTTGTGATTTTTGAAATTTTGGAGGCTTTTTCCAAGTGAGTTTTTTATTTTTGATTAGTTTTGATGAGAAATGAAGTGAACAATGTTGGGTTTGTGTTGTTTTCCAATTGGGGTTCCTCTTCCTGTGATGTTTTCAGATTGTGATTCTTCTGCTGAAAGTTGAAGATTTGAATTTTGAGGTGGAGTTTTTGAAGTTGAAGTTTTGGTTAGGTTCAAAAGTAGGACATTATGATTGAGAGATTGGTAATTTGATTTCTGAGGTGTCGTTATTTTGCTGCAAAAGCTGGTATTGGCAAGTTCCTCAAAGGAAGAAAAGATGGACAGAAGGATACAGCCTCCGTTGGTAAGTTTCTCTTGTCAATTCTTCTACCATTTTCATGTTTTGCTTCCTATACTGTGCCCTACTGATCTTTCGTTTTCTGACTTTTACATTTCGAATTGTCCGATTCTCCGGTTTTGCTTTTGATTTGTGCGTGTGTGTGTGTGTTATAAGTGTTGTAACTATGGAAAAGAAAAACATTAAGAAGGTGAATGGATGGTGGATGAAGTTCAGCTGTGTCAGCTTTCATTGAATCCAGGGAGAATGTTGGTTGTATTTTGTGAGCTTAGAAATTGTGTATCATAAAGTGCATGTTTTGTCCAATGACTTCAACGGAAATCGTATATCAGTTGGATTGGTTCCATTTCCAACCAATTTGGAATTTCTCTAGTAATGCAAACATCCTTCATGCCCATTCTAAGGTGTAAGAGGCAACGAAAAACACTAAAAGAGGACAAACATGTGAACAACAAGGTTGCAACACTGACAATCTTCCTACTTTTTGGTACCCGTAGAAGAAAATTTTGGCTTCTCGCTAATTCAAAACCTATACTCCTGTCTGCTTTGTTTTTATCCGTTTGGTTTCTGTTTCCAGGATTGTGTTGTTGCCGGTTGCTGATTTTAAGCCTGTCATAGATTAAATATATAATTTACATTTGCATGAGTTTCGTATGTGTTTAATTGGCTGACCTGTTGTACCCCCGTTTGTGATATTGAAAGGAGTTCGTCATGCTAATTGTTCATGAAAATTATTAGAAATGATGGAAGATCATCCATGCCACCTGCTCCCTCGTGGTAATGACTTACCACGAGATCTGGGAAACTGTGTTTACATAATGCATTTGTGGAGTTGCCGTATTTCCAAAGTAAAATGGCCTGGTTGATTGTTTAAGTAATGTACATTTCGCTTTGCAGGTTGATTCAACAGCTTGCTTATGTAGAGTAGATGCTGGCCTTAAAACTGTTGCTGGAGCTAAAAAGTATGTCCCTGGGGCAAAGCTCTGTCTTCAACCCGACATTAAATCATCCATTCATCCAACTAGGAGTAAGCCTTCGCGTGGGGAGAGTAGCCGCATTCAACCCCCTCTGCTTCCTGGACTCCCAGATGATCTTGCTTTTGCTTGCCTAGTTCGGGTCCCAAGAGTTGAGCATCGTAAGCTCCGCCTGGTTTGCAAAAGATGGTACCGTCTTTTGGCTGCTAACTTCTTTTACTCCCTCCGTAGGAACCTTGGCATTGCAGAAGAATGGATATATTTAATTAAGAGGGATGGAGAAGGGAAAGTCTCTTGGCATGCTTTTGATCCCGTATACCAGCTCTGGCAACCCCTCCCTCCTGTCCCTAAAGAATATTCTGCAGCCCTGGGGTTTGGTTGTGCTGTACTCGGTGGCTGTCACCTGTATTTATTTGGAGGAAAAGACCCGCTAAAGGGATCAATGAGGCGAGTCATTTTTTATAATGCCAGGACCAATAAATGGCACCGTGCCCCAGATATGCTTCGGCGGCGCCATTTCTTTGGCTCGTGCGTTATAAATAACTGCTTGTATGTTGCCGGCGGGGAGAATGGGGGAATACATCGGTCCCTGAAATCAGCTGAAGTCTATGATCCCAACAAGAATAGATGGTCCTTCATTTCAGAGATGAGCACCGGAATGGCTCCCTACATTGGGGTTGTTTACGAAGGCAAATGGTTCTTGAAGGGGTTAGGGTCTCATCGACAAGTTTTGAGCGAGGTCTACCAACCAGAAAACGACAGCTGGTACTCTGTGTATGACGGAATGGTTGCAGGCTGGAGGAATCCAAGTGTTGCTTTAAACGGGCATCTCTATGCTTCGGAATGCAAAGATGGCTGCAAACTTAGAGTTTATGACAAAGCGACGGATTCTTGGAGCAAGCATATTGACAGCAAGATGCATTTAGGTAATTCTAAGGCTTTGGAGGCAGCTTCCCTTGTTCCCCTCAATGGCAAACTTTGCATCATTCGGAATAACATGAGCATCTCGCTGGTTGATGTTTCGAAATCCAGCGATGTTGGCGAGGCAAGTGCTGAATATCTATGGGAAACTATAGCAGGTAAGGGGCAGTTCAGGACCTTGGTCACGAATCTGTGGTCAAACCTCGCCGGCAGGAACCGCCTTAAAAGTCACATAGTTCACTGCCAGGTTCTTCAAGTTTAGAAACTGTAAATTGTATCAAATTCAAAGGTTCACTCTTTTGGTTCGATGCTTCTGAAAATTTCACAATTTGACGGACTGCATATGTAATGTTGAAGCCTAGAGGCTTCGCCCTGTCTGACGACAGGGATTCTAAAGTCCATCGGTATATATTCTCGTGTACCATTTGCTAGGTGTTCGACAATGTTTGTATTGGTGAAATTACTTTCTCACATATATGATACACATATGTTCGTTGCTATGTGCAACTGTTCATTTTCTTTCATATCGCTGCGCTTAAACGAACAACAGTCATGAGATCTGCCACCTCTCTCGGTGATCTAAAATTCGACAAATTTAATCACGAAAACTCAAAATTGTTGTACATGAATGCGACGACAGAAAAATATTACACAGATCAGATACATAAGTTTCTGCATTCCACTGCTTCGGGAAGCTCCTGAATGCCAATTATTTGTTCATGTTTGTTTTCATTTTTCATCTAACAATTGGCTACAAAAGAATACAACATTTCCAAAATTTGTAAACAAAAAATAATTTCCCTACAAGTTCATCACATACCGACACCTACTTATTGCGCCTTCATGTTTAACCCGGTCTCAGATTGCGCGAGATGTGATCTTGCCATGGAGAAGCATCTTTCCTTCTGCTTTTTGTATTCGTTGTACCGCAGGAAGAAATAACCAAGATAGTCGAAATTGATCGGAGAAAACTTTGCCTGTATACGATTGAACAGAATTATATTCAGCGATAAATTTGACGGTATGGGAGAAGCACAAATAAGAAAGAGGTATACCTGGATTATTCCCCATAAAGCCCAATATAAGTGTGAAGCTAACATATATGTATTTGCCTCAACATAGAGAGCTTCAAGTTCCTTGTCTGATACCTGTTGGTATGGAAAATATGAATGAAAACTTAAGAAGCAGATTATCATCCGTTAACATTAACTCCGCCCTTCAATTAACGCTAAAATTATTAATTTGAAACCAGTTTACCTCTTGTTGATTTTCAGGTTGTATATAATGCCTCAAGAAGTGGTATTGTTCATCCTTATTCGGGTATCTGCATGGACACCGTGTTTAACAATCAAAGGTAATCCCATGAGATCGTGATGGTATGAAATAAAAGGAAAGAAGATAGAACAAGAAACAGAAAACATACAAACTATAGTCGCATTCATAGCCTGCATATTCATTGAAGTGATTCCCAATGTCAAAGCCTCTATAATTGTATGATCCGTACTCAAAATCGATGAAGTAGAGTTTATCTGGAAACTCAATCAGAAAAATCAATGTAAGTGGAAGGAAAAAAGGGGAAAACAATATTACTTTCATTTTATAAAGTTATGAAACAAAAAATTGAATCTATTCTAGCTTTCCCCCAATGCATGTCCAAATACTATTTCAAGCACCAGGAACCAAAACTACCATCACGGAAATCTCATTCTGTTTCATTTCTGACCATCTTGGACATCCAATAGCAATGGTGGGCACAGGAAGACATCATAACCCTAGCGTCTAGGCAACTATCACAAACAGATATATAGCAGGATTGAATTCTGACTATTCTTTTAGCATCGTAGGAAGATAAAGTTCATTTTAGGAGTCAATGATAAGAGACAGTGAAAAGAAGTGTGGAATACCTTCTTCGTCATTAACCATTATATTTCCAGAAAGCAAGTCATTGTGAGCAAAAACGACTGGAGCATTAAAACGGTCTGTCAATTCCTGTTCCATTATCAGGAGAAACATCTAGGTAAATATGCACAAAGTACATTAACCATACAGTATAATAAACCAACACAGAAACAGAAAACGACAATTAGAAACAAACTTTTTGATACAAATAAATATATTCCTTTATCGTTTCATCAACACATCATTGTTAAATCACTTCGGGATTTGCCTTCCACACATCATTATTATGCCAATTTCTACGTACTTTCTAAGTTGATTAGAAGGATAGCCGAGTAAACAATGATGGTGGAGATACCTTGAGCGCAATCATTTCATTGTGAACTTCACTAAATGAAATGGTCTTATAAACTTTCTGCTTTTCATTGTCATCAAATTCAAGAGCAGATGCTGCAACGAGAAGGTGACTCAATCATGAGAAAACTTACATGTATGAACTGATGTTAAAAATTATATGAATTGTTAACCCACCCATGAAAATCAGGCCACTTCCAGTCGCCTAATATCAATTTAGCTAACAAGACATGTTGAACATAACATATATGAGGCAGGTAAGACTAGAGATAACCTTTCTCAAAGAACTTGAACATGTCAATCCACAACTGAGGTTCCTTGGAACCTGGAATTTCCACTTGATGGAATCTGCGCAGTTCCTTGGCAATATCGGCAGCCAGCTTTGGATTTCTCATGTCTGCCGAGAAGGGAATAAGTTAAAATCATGTCAATGGACAGATTCAGTTCAGCAAGAACCCTGAAAATGCATATGATTTACTTCAACAAAAGTGACCTCCTGTCCCTGAACTTGTATACCAGTTTCAATTGCCTCAAAGGACATTTATTTCAAAATGAGAGTTGACCAAGAGATTATCCACTGACCGAATGAGAAAAGATTTTGAAAGGTAGAAGTGGTGGAGTAAAGGGGTGAATTAGTCCATCTGTTTTTTAAGTGTCGTATAAAACCTGAGAACTCTTTATATTGTTTACTTGATTTTCTTGCTTTCCCTTCAAGCTTCTTTAACAAAAAACTTTACTTTAAAAATAACATATAACCGAAGTTACCTGATGGGACTAGTGTACGTGCATTGATAAAAGATTGCACCATCCCATTGGCAAAAACTCCAAGCAAATTTGCACCAAATCCTGCAACGGAGAGGTATTTGATTGCCTGAAGACAATATGCAGTGAGAATTTACAAAGCGAAGCATACAATTAAAACATCACCAATAAGTTAAGATAAACAATCAGTATAGTCAGAAAGCCATCTCATATAAACATCAACAGAAACACGAATTCATGGCAGTTACATTAAAAAAAATTGCAAATGGGGCATAATCCAAGTACACGAAGAAGTACTCAGATCAGCTTTACCTATGAAATAAACTAACCAAAACTTTAAAAGAAAATGAATCGATATCGGGAAAAGGAAATGTGAAAGTTGAGTAAATGAGCAGCCAACCGGACCACAACAGAGACTTACAAGCTTTGAAATGGTAGTAATACTACTAGAATTAATTTTTCATACATAACAACATTACAAAACTTCTCAAAACTACCTGCAGTTCGCGTTCCCTATTGATAACATAATCGGTGTTAGGCCCGTACAACCGCACTGTCACAGACACGGTATTTCCATTCTCTTCCTTCACAGTCACCTTCAGCACTGCATGCATCAACGATCACTAACTTAGTTCAGCTCTACACCATAAATCACTCAGAAAAATCGAATGAACAATAACGAACTCAAAGTTTTGTTTTTCGATAACAAATTTTCACGTACGATAACTTCTCTTAGCTCATAGAATCCAAAAACAACAAACAAGAAGAAGAACAGCACTCACATTGATTTGTGATGCCGCCGGAAACTGTCTCCACGGAGAAGCGAGAATTCTCCAAATTTGACCATTTCTTAAACAGATCCTTGCACAATTCTCTGCAAATTCAATCATATAACACATTAAAATATAAAATTTACTCCTTATAAAGTAGACAAATTAATTAAAAAAATTTGAATCCATTTTTCAAATTTTCCTCTCGTTTCCTGCAATTTCTCATCCACCAAACTGGATTTTAAAAAAATGTATACATAAATATCAATTCTAAAAATCGAACAATTTATCTGAGCAAAAACAAGTTGCACAAAACGAATTGAAGGCCATATACACATATATAGAGAGAGAGGGAGACTGACATGATGAGAGGCGAGACGGGAGGGAGAGGGAGGGAGGGGTCGACGGAGAGGGAAGAAGAATGGATCTGAGAGGTGGAGCAATCTGAAGCTTGCGCAGCTACTTCCATGGCGTTCCAGATGTTCTTCACCGCTCCCATTTCTCTCTGACTTTTTTTTTTGGCTGAATTTTTTGCTTTAATTTTCAAACGCAACGTTTTTCTGTAGCACTACTAGTTCCGAATGCACAACCGAAATTTCCAAAGCTCCTGCTTAACCGGGAGGTTCTTATAGGGCGGGTGATGTGGAATGACCGACTTGGCTTCCGACAATTTATCTTTTGCCACGTGTGTCCTGTTATGTTAGAGGCCCGATACGTGGTCCTATCAAGAAAAAGCAAGATTCTCTGTGGTCGACTCTTAAAAACAATATCTTATGTGATCGATGACTTGTATAATTTTGCTTTCAAACGAGAAAAAGAATAAATAATATTCAAATTACTTTTATAAATTGGGAACCCATGACTTGTATTAGAAGGAATCAATCGCGTATTGGTTATTTAACTCATGTTTAAATTTAACATGGAGATTTGAACTTAGTTGCAGGGTTGAGAAAGTTCGCTATACTCACGTTTGAGGAATTACTCACATTAAAAAAATAAATTTATAGAGATTATATTGCAAAGTTAGGAATATGTATATGTATGAACATGTGGAATTCACAAACACATCCTAGACTTTCTGTGATGTTAGGAGGAAACCAAATAAATAACAGAAATATATTAATTTATTGATATGAATAACTAATTATAAGTGAGCTGAGCCACTTATAGTTTGCCAAGTGCTGAATTCCGGTTTGCGATTTGGCCTAGTGTTTATTCAATATGACATGTGTCACAGGTGTTGAATTGGCAATTTGGAAGTATGCCGTGTGGACGAGGAGAAATTTCATCAATTTGGTAATGTGAAAGGAAATGATTTTAGAAATGTCATAATATTGGTAGTGTGAACGAGTGAGTTTGTGTTTAGAAGTTTCATCACATTTGGTAATGCGAAAATATTTTAAATAATTTTAGTATTACGAAATATTCGAATTCAAGTGTATAATTGTAAACATACTATTTTAGTTAACTCGGTTAAAGTAAAGTCTGCTAGTAAACTTACTGTCTATGAAACATTATACTCATAAGCGTTTTTTACTTGAAATATTAACGTGTTAAAAGTTTTATCAAAAACTCAATTTATTTATGAAAAAACACCTAGAAGTGGTTTTCTCCAAGGTGTTTTAATGCTTTTATATTTTTGTGTCATACATAACTAAAAGAGTGGTACTATCCGCATAGAGCTTTTATCGAAAATAGCCAAAATTTAACACTTAATTTCATAAATGTCATTTTTATAAAATCTTTCAAAAATAACAGAAAATCCACTTAAATAGACTTAAATACCCTCAGAATTAAAACAAAATAAACATAAAGTAAAAAAGTCTGGGTTAGCCAAGAACCAAGGACCATAAGCAATAAGATTTACACAGCCCTCAGCCACATCATCGTTCCCAACTTCCTTGTCTTAACCACCAGCAGCAAAAATTGCTGCCAATAATGAAGGTACCATTAAAAGCCTTTCTCATGGGTACAAGACTGTGGGGGGAATCACTCTTTTTCTCCTACTATCTTCATCGTTGGCTCAACCATATGGCAGTATGGGATCCTATATTTGATCAATGAATTGGCCAGATAAAGGCCCAATGTTTTCGAAGCGATGTCCCGAGCAACTGAACGTCAACACCATCATCAACAATGGAGATCGATCTTGTGGCAGGAGGTAAAAGCAAGAAGATGAAGTACAATGCGCCCAAGTCCAATGATGTCCAATGATATCTATCTCAAACTTCTCGTCAAGCTGTACCGTTTTCTTGTCTGAATGACTAGAAGCAAGTTGAATGCAGTCATTCTTAAATGTTTGTCAACAAGGCACCCTTTCTCTCTCGATGTTGATTAAGTATATGCAAGGAAAGGACAACAAGATTGTTGTGGTTGTAGGGACTGTCACCGATGACATTAGGGTTTATGAAGTTCTGCAATTGAAGGTTACAACACTGAGGTTCACTGAGATTGCGACAGTAGGAGTGTGTTTGACATTTGATCAGCTTGCTTTGAGAGCACCATTAGGTCAAAACGGGGTTCACCTCAGAGGTCCTAAGAATTCTCGTGAAGCACTTCTATGTAAATGGTTTTGAATTTTGAGGGTATTTAGGTCTATTCATGTGAGTTTTCTGATATATTTGAAAGTTTTTATAAAAACTAACATTTATGAATTTGGATGTTAAATTTTGGTTATTAATGATAAATACTCATCCATACTCGTTTTTTACTTCCCACACAATTCTCTTAATTTTCGATGTCGAATCAAATGATTTGAAGAATATCAAAAGATAAAAATTAACAAAGACGGTGAAAAAAGTAAAAATGAGTGATAACACCACTCAACCAAAAAACTTTTGATCGCTGTGTTTGTGCTACCGGACTTTATGGGTCACGGGCCTCGATTTGTTACAGGTTAAAAAGGACCGAAGCCCAATTACTTTTAGGCTGAAAGGATGAGATTAATCTTGAGTTTTATTTACATCCGGGTCAGGAAGACCCGGATTTCGTACTCGGTAAGAAAATTACTACTTTGAATCAATCACTCCTGTTCTCTCCTCTCAACCGTCTCTCTCCTCCACCAAAACCTTCGCCGCTACTCCGCCCATCGCCTCCACCACCCCTCTCTCACTCTAATTTTTTCTTCCTCTCTCTCTCTCTCTCTCACTCGCTCTCACTCTAGAACTCACACGGTACACAGACGATGCAGAGGCAGCTGCTGAAGAAGCTCAGACTGAAACCTCCCAATGGACTCACCCAATTCAACCAACGAGTCCGTACACATTTCTCTCTCTCCCAAGCTTACATTCCGGCCGAATCTCTCACTTATAATTCCATCTGCTTATATCACCATTTCTTGGTTTGGTTTTTTGCAGAGAGAGATGCACAGCAGGAACAAGAAGGCGATGGAGTTGATAGCCAAAGGCTGGAGTGCCCTCAAGGAAGTCGACCGAGTCATCGATTACTGCGAGCTCAACGATCGCCGCCTCATCCCTCTCTTACGGGTAATTTTTATTTTATTTTCTGATGTTAATTGTGTATTTGCTCTAACCCCATTTGTGAATTTGTATTTTTGTTTATGAACTTGGATTAAATTTTTAATTTTTGACGTAAATTATGTATTTTTCTTAAACGCCATTTGTGAATTTTTATTTTTTGTTTATGAACTTAATTTATTTATTTTTTTAATGTTTTTGTTGTTTGAATTTGTATCAGGCAGCAAGGGAGAATTTTGAGTTGGCTCTGGAGGCTGACAATTCAAATACCCATGCCAGGTATTGGTTGTCCAAATTGCAATTGAAATACCATGTCCCGGGAGCCTGCAAAGCTATGTAAGTGTGATTTCTCGTAGTTTTAATCGATTCGTTTAGGTGTTTTTCATGTTGCTTCACTGATGGTGGTGGTCTGCATTCCCTACATTACTACACTGTATTGTATTTCAGAGCACCTAGATAAGCATTTGATAAGAAAAAATAAACGAACAGGAAAAGTAGGTCATGTAACTTATATTTTGTTATTTTTTGTCATAACAGCGGAGCTGCCTTGTTAGTTGAAGCAGCGGATATGGGTGATCCGGATGCACAGTACGAACTGGGTTGTCGTCTTAGAGTTGATGTAAGAATTCTAAGAAGTTTGTACTTGAAGTATAGATCAGTTTAGCGTTCTTAACGATAGTTTACGTTTTCAAAACCTATAAAGTTTAGTGATTTCCGTGCTTAAGTTCTCCCTTATTACTGATTTTCCAACTGTTTTGGTTTTCCGTTAGAATGAATACGTCCAGTCAGATCAGCAAGCTTTCCATTATATAGAGAAGGCTGTTGACCGGGTATATTTTCACAATGCAGATACAAATTATAATGATTCTGAAATGTGGTTCAAGGCCTTACGTGAGCTCGCTATGTTCTAGTTGCATCCAGGTGCTCTTTACCTTCTGGGTTCCGTGTATCTGACGGGAGACTGCGTGAAAAAAGATATGGCTTCCGCATTATGGTGTTTCTATAGGGCATCAGATAAGGTAAACGAGCTCCTACTACTCCCTACTCAGTTTCAGCAATGGATCATCGACAAGGGATATGCATGTGGGTGGAAACTAAGTACTGGTGATGGAAAAATGGACATTGTTTAAACAAACTTAAATTGCTTTAGTAGTTGTACATTTTTGTTGTGTAAAAATGGTGATCTTTGAAACGGGCTTAGATATACTTGATGAGCTATTATGACACATACACGAGTAAATTAAAACTTCCGTATTTCTCGGCTTGAGTAGACACTTTCTTCCATTTCCAAAATGAGTTTTAAGTTTCATGATCCAAAACATGGTTGCATTTTGCCTTTGTAATACCGAACCCTTGTTTCTCCAAATAATTTATTAGTTGCAACTCTCTCTCTCTCTCTCTCTCGTTTGACTAGTGCACCATTTTACTTTTATTCCTTTTAATATATGCAGGGACATGCTGCTGCAGCTATAGCATTTGGATCTCTTCTTCTAAGAGGTCTGTTCTTCCAACCACGCTTCTTTTGTTTTACGTGAAACTTGTTGTCCACTCATATTCATAGCTGGTGTAACTATGAAGGATGATTGGGGAGTTTCACAGTTTCATTGGTAGTTTTTTGCGATCTTTATATAAAAAAAAATATAAAAAAAAAAGAAAAAAAAAAGGGGTTCTGGACACCGATATTATCACTAACTGTCGAACAAATGGCATGGCTATATTTTATTTTTCTGCATTCCCTCATAGGAGATGACAGTGCGGCAGCACCAAGAATTTACATTTTTGTAATGATTTTTCTACCCTTACTGATAAAATTGCACGTCTTAGGTGCTGAAATCCCAGAATCTGTGACGAAGTTTGCTTCAAAGAGGGGTCCTTTGGCCAGAAAGGAAAGCATAACAGATCCCATAGAGATGGCAAGGGAACGATTCCAGATTGCTGCGAAAGCCGGGTGTGACCTAGGACTGAAATGGTTGGAAAGACTTGAGGAGGAAGAGAAGCATCTATTAACTGGATCTGAAATGGCCGAACAAACTTAATGAGGAAAATGTCTGGTAATCGGACATTCTACTGACGGGATAGAACTCTTCCAAGATTTCTCGAGACGGAATTGATGTGCGTCCATATCAAAGTATGCCACGCCACAATCCGATCCTGTAAATTCTCTACCCTGCATGAAGATTGAATCTTTTGTATACATTCTTCATATTTAATGTATGCCCCATGCTAGGTACCATTTTTCTTCCTTTTCCCGGGAGTCAATAACTATTCATAACTATTATACAGCGGTATTATGCAAGCGGATGGACCAGTGCTCTGGCTATCTAGCTTATTCACTCCATGACCATGAGTCAATCACAGGTATTGACCTCGTCGTTCATGGAGTCACCGTTCATGGAATCACCATCCATGGATAGGAATACAAACTACAGTGCTCGTGACAAGGATGAACTTACTTGAGTACACAAAAGCGAGCAACAAACTTTTTGCAACGGAATACACTATTCGGTGGTATTTCATGTGTATGGCTCGTTTGAAAGTGTTTTTAATATGACTAAAAGCGCTTTTAGAGAATGTTTTTTTATTTCAAAAGCACTTGAATGTTTTATGTACCAGTTATGTGCTTCTTCCATGAAGCACTTTTAAGTGTTTTTTCAAGATTTACTTTCACTTTTACTAAGTATTAGTTCCAATAACGTTTTTACCAAATACACTTTCAGTCATCTTAAAAGCATTTCAAACAAGCTCGTAAACTCTATCTCCATATAATTTTGAATCCCCTCCATTGAATAGTAATTATCTTTAATGAACAGTAATTGTCTTTTGCATCTTCACTCTTAAACTGAATAGTCATGGCAATAGGCAATAAAATATTAGTATTTTTTATTTTATAAAATAATAAAAAATAATTTTATTTGTAATTTCGGATATGATTTTTAACCGGTCTCATTACGTCACATGTCATTATACTGAGATTTCTACCGTTGGATTACAAAAAATTTCTACCGTCAGATTATAGAAAATTTGAAATCCAACCCTCCAGTTGTGCCACATGCCATAACCGTAACATATCAGATCTTTTCTTTTCTTTTCTTTTTTTTAATTTTTTAAGTCAAAAAACGTGGATCGTTGATTTGGAATCGAACAGCTCAAATTGTGCCACGTCATCTAGTCGTTAGGGGAATTTTGAATATTTTTTTACCGTTGGAAATCGAACGGTCCAAAAAAAAAGTTGTTGAAATTCAACGGCCAAGATGGTGTCACGTTGCACCCAGTAACGCCCACTTCCAGACTGTAACGCGCAGGACCCATTGTCTAAAATCTTGTCGGTAATGCACCCCTGCTCGCCCGTGTGGTGCACATGGCTGACACAAAAAAATTTATAACATGACCTTGCTTCACAAAGCCCTTAAGCACTTGGGCCTTAGACACCCACCTGCCCTCTAACCCAATTGCCCGAATGGACTGGAGCTAGTTTGGGAGGCAATTGGATTGGATTTGCTCCATCTCCACGGGGCTACCAAGCATGCTGGAAGGGACAAGGATTGTCTGCCCTCCTAGTTGTGGTGCCCTTCCATGTCCTCCTATTTTGTGCGGTCACGGTTAAGCTACGTTAATATTTTATATTTTTATTGTTTTTTGTCTTATTATCTCATTAAAAAATTAATATAAAATGTTAACGTGACTTAACCGTGACCGCACAAAATAGGAGGGCATGGAAGGGCACCACAACTAGGAGCGCAGACAATCCTTGTCCAAGAAGTGCTCTAAAGATACTAAATTATCATGGCCGTTGGTTTTTTCGATACAAAAGTTCACTTCGCATTCTTAGCGCGTGTTAGAGCACCAAAACGTCCTACAATTCCCAGCATTGGCAACTAGCCACGTCACCACCTGAAAGATATTTTTTGAGAAACGATCGGCCTCGTTGCAGCTCTACTAGGAACACATACGTATTTTTATGTAAGTAGCGGAATTTTTTATTTTTTAAATTATTAATTTTTTAATACATATATCTTATCATTTGTATAGTAATATGTGGTGTACCATCTAATGTATCAATCACATTGAAAAATCTCTTTCCAATATGAAAGAGAGAGGGTCCTTGCCGAATCCTCAAATAACATTAATTCATTTTACATCGTACGATAATAAATTATTAAATATTTTTTTATAAATAATATCTGATAAAAATTAATCATATAATATAAGATAAACAAATATAACTGGATAATCTCCGAAATATCCGCAAAGATGATTCGGGAAGCATCCTCTCTGAATACGGAATACCCAATTAAAAAGGATCCTAAAAAGGCCTCCACGTCACACGAAACCAGGCCGTTGAGAAAAAAAGAATAAAAATCGGCGAACAAAAATTCGCGGGATCAGAGCACGCGCGCAATAAATGAACGTGCGAAAAACCCTCCATCTCTCCATCGCGCCATCGTGCGAAAATGGTGTAGGTATTTGAGAGAGAGAGAGAGAAACAGGAGAGAGAAAGAGAGTGATTTTACTACACACTGTCACTGCAGCCTTTTCTCTCATCGTCTCCACCGTGCTTTCTCTCTCTAAAATACCTACACCATTTTCGATATTCGAACCTTACCCGAAACCTTAATCTGAGAATTTGTTTTACAGTAAAAAACCATCACGGATGACAATGCCTTGGTCCGATTCCTCCACCGAGTCAAACCGGAACCCGACTCGCCAGCCCTTTAACTGCTACGTACCTCCGCACCTCCGAAACACTGGCGTGGCCGCGACTTGATGGCCGGTGCTCAGACCGGGTCCGGCAAGACGGCTGCGTTTTGCTTCCCCATCATCAATGGGGTCTTAAAGAATGGCGTCGAGTGGTCGCCGGCTCGCGCCGGGGATCGTGCTGTGTGCCCTACCGCCCTCATTTTGTCTCCGACGAGAGAGCTGGCTGGTCAGGTATGTTAATATTTGCCACATTGTGGCCATATTTGAAGTTCATGTGCTAATGGGTTTGTGATTTTAGCTTAATTTTGTTTGGCGTTTGCTTTTTTTTTGGGTTGGTTTTTTAAATTTTTGGGCAGATTCATGAGGAAGCTAAGAAGTTTGGTTATCAGAGTGGGGTGAAGATTGTTGTTGGTTATGGTGGAGCTCCAATTTCTCAGCAGGTCTGTGTCGATTTCAAGTTTGTGTCAATTTGTTATCATTGCAAGAAGTATGGTGTGTTTATTCATTTCTTGGCTACTGATGTAAAGCTAGCTTACTCCATTCGGGCTTCCGTGCACTTGATGAAAGAAATATCGTGAATCGTATAAACATTTTGTGTTTAAGATTAGTAAAGTGTAGCGTAGTGAGGGTGTTTTGTCATTGTCGTTTCTCTTTTTGTGTTTTACGATTGTACTGCTCTGTTTTGCTGTAATGTATTTAGATATGTTGATTCGGAAGACTTATGGTATCGTTTTTTGTGTTGTGTTTATTGGTAATCCTTGACTCTGCAGTTGCGTATGCTGGAGAGAGGCTGTGATATTCTTGTTGCAACTCCTGGGCGCTTAGTGGACATGATTGAGAGGTCACGAGTTTCGCTGAGAAATGTCAAATATTTGGCATTAGATGAGGCTGATAGGATGTTGGACATGGGTTTTGAGCCTCAGATAAGGAGGATTGTTGAACAAACGGACATGCCTCGCTCTGGTGCAAGACAAACGTTGCTTTTCAGTGCTACATTTCCAGATGAAATACAGGTGCACCAATTAAACGTTAATGCTCCTTCGTGTGATTAGATGTTATGCTTGGTGTGTTGGTTTATTCTAGCTGCATATTGTATGATTGTTCTCTTTTAGGTTCGATAATCAATCAAAATCTTGTGGCTAGCGATAACCATTTACTAAGCATTCATTAATTTGTTTGTGTTTATAATTACCGTCTTCTGCAGAGGCTTGCTGCAGATTTTCTGTTAAACTACATATTTCTCGCTGTTGGAAGAGTTGGATCAAGCACAGGTCTCATCACACAAAGAGTTGGTTCAATTTTGGTCAATGGAGATTGGAGATTCGAACTTGGTATCTCGTCCTTTTGAAAAATCTGTTAAAACCCCAAGGTGCATCTACTCAGATTGTACATAGTAAGATCATGTTTCTTATAAATTTGTAAGTGTGACCACGGCAAGCCAACCACCGGTTTTGTATTTGTCAGCAAGGTGCCCTTGGTAGTCCACACCATGTACAACTAGCAATCGAACTGATTTTCCTCCCCTGAAGACAACTTGAACTTTTCTTGACCCCCAAGAAACGAGTTTGAGAGCATGATGAAGATTACTTTCAGTTTGATGATTGTCCAGCCAAACCCTGTATATATATGGTTCAGTTTATACCACCTAGCTACTTTTTGATGGATGATCCAAAATTGCAAATTCAGAGTCCTTAAGCTCGCGTATTAGATTTCTTCCTCGTTCTCAGTCAGTATTCGCTTGCATGCTTCATAGCACATGAAGGAAATCCCAGCAGCTGGGACAAATTTCATGTAGCTCGGCCCTAACCCTTTGTACAGGCCACCGATTCCTTCACTCGCATGTATGCTTGAAAGAGCATCAAGTATGTGCTTGTACTGCCTCCCACTGAGAGCCCCAACCTGCATTCTCTTCCGAGCCACCTCAAGCGGGAAAGTTGCGCTGCTAGAAATTGCAGCAGCTGCTGATCCGATCAAGAGAGTCGTTATGTTTCCGATTTCCTCCTTTTTGAAAGCTTTCTTGTATGCTTTTGAGAGGGCATCATAAGCAAAATAGTTGGCGGCAGCGTATGGAATTACGCCAATTAAACTCGGGGTGAGTCCTCTGTATAGCCCTGCAGGTCCCTCCTGTCGGATAATTTTTGAAACTACGTCGAAAAAGTTATTGTACACTCCTCTCTGCAATCAAGTAAAATATGTGACTATGAGTACTGATGCGAAGAAAACAAACCAATGAATTCAATAGTTCTTTTTGAATTTCGGGGTCTGATTTACCTGGATGGTTAATCGTGTTTTTAACAACTCTAGAGGGTATGTACACAAGGTTGAGCTGAATCCAGCAACAGCGCCTGCGATTGATGAAGCGGGGATAGGGATTTTCAGCTCTTCACCGGGTCGAGTTAAGTGCTTCTTCACCGTGTCATAAGCAAATAACTACACAAAACCAGAGTCAGAAATATGAAGTTATACTAGTCGGGTTATGAAACAGATGTTTGTTCTTTATAAAGTTAGAATATCATTGTCGTTGACAAAACCCATCAAGATGTTATCAATGATCAAACATTAACGAACATTCTGCATAAAGAATTTCACGACGAAGATAAATTCTTCGTGTTCGTGTATCAAAATTTACACGTACAATTCACCAGTATCAATTCTTGGCGATCATACCTCAATAGCCTTGCATGGAGCAACCCTGATGACATTGACCAAAGTACCCCTAAACAAGCCCTGCCATCCATCAGCTTCCATGATAGAATGAAACACTTGAGAAGCACTGGAGTGGCCACTGCCCTCCACCATCAAATGCGGCCGTATCGTCTCCAATGGAGCAACCGCCGTCCGCGACACCACTCCCGCCACTGCTCCGCTCAGCAGCCGCCTCAGCGATGCATGTCCAACCTTTATTTTCAATCTCAAACCACCACCGTTACCATTAATTTTCTGAATCTTCAACAGCTCTTCTGCTTCTGCAACCTCCAGCAATGCATCTGCCTCCACCAACTCATTAACCCTGCCAATCCAAAACCCGAAACCCGGCGTCGACATGTATGTCATGCACGTGGAGCTTAGAAGCTTTGTGGTTTGGTCTATGGAGTTCTGAGGACTCGGTGTGATACCAAATCCTCTTGCAACTTGAACGCTGGCAAATAGTCCACCGGACTGCGAAGTATTATTTAGAGGACTGCATCGGATTCTAATCCCGGAAGAACAAGAGAATACTACATCGTCGTTTGTATTTCCAGTACCCTGCAATCTTCTTCCACCCATTAATCCAAAAGCTTGAAACTATATAAAGATCAAATCTTTGAGCAGAAAAAAGAGTTGGGGTGGATTTAAAATTTGATATTTTTGGGGGAAGAGGAGAAAAACACTTTCTACTTCTGCATTTGTTGTCTCTCTGTTTTCTTTGTGGGTGTGAGAAGAGTAGGGTTTTGTTTGCCAACACTCCCAACTTTTTTTTATGTCGACCAACACTCCAAAACTAAGGACAGCCAATTAAATTTTATTCTTTTGGGGTACAACACTCGTTTGGAATATTATTGGAATTATTTTTTGTGTTTATTAAAATATAAATATTCAAGTTTTTTAGATTTATGACTTTGTTTGCATTTATTAACGAGTAATGCTAGAGAAGTTAAATTTGCAAATCAAATGACGTGGTTGTAGATGATTAAATTATTAACTAATAGTCGATTAATATGCTTGTTTCTTATTAGTGACGCAACATTTAGCTTACAAATTTGATTTAAAATTTTGATTTTCCTAGCATTATTCTTTACTTACACATATGATATCAATTATTTCATAAACACGCATTACAGTTCTTAATCCAATACATGAAAAACAAAAAATTGGAGTATCTCATTTCAATTAGGGTACACAAGGCATGGATGTCATTCACGTGTCATACCTGAACAACTATGTATGAAATTTACAAAAACATTATTTATTTTATATCTGAACAACTAAGGTCATTTCCATTTTCCATTCATAATTTATGTCATTCAAAATAATTTTTGAATTCACGACTTATCTCATTTTAAATAAGCAGAGCACACCATTGATTTTAGGGAACTTTAATGAAAAGCTCCCGGTATTGTTCACTTTAATGAAAAACCACATTTTTACACTAAAAAATCAATCATGGTACTATTCATTTTACCCTTTATTTTGTCCTTATCGTTAAAACTCAAAATTTTCAAGCTCGTTTCATTAATTTTCCTTTGATTTTAATGAGTTAGATTTTCATATTTCAGACAACTTATCCACTTCTGTCAATGTGTATCTTCGTGATACATTTGTCTTTTTATTTTGTAAGATGCTTTCTTAGCAGTTTGAGGCCACGAGATTCAGATAGAATTTGGTTGTTGATGTTTCAAATTTGCCATAAGTAGACTAAAATTATATTTTGATTGGAAGACCCTAATCAACTACGCGGCTATGTTTAATACCAAAAACCACGCGTCCACATATTTCATCTCAAAGATATGGAATTGAGATTCTCTGATTCTCTCTGTCCGGAGCTGACAGACCTAAAAATTCAGACCACTAAATTTAAATTTTGCGACTCCCTTTAGCTTATTCTACAGGCTCACTTTACACAAAACCAAACCCTCAACGCCCAGATCTCTCTCTCTTGAACAGTCCAAATTTCCGAGCCCATCGATCGGACACAGAGATCCGGTTGCGAGGATCGCAACATGCACGCACAATAGAAATTGACCCACTTGAGAGAGAGAGAAAGAGAGAGAGTGAAAATATTTCTCCTGAAAAATAAAGGAGTCTTACATAATAATCTTCGATTCCAAATGATTAAACTTGTAAAACCTACATCAAAACTCCCACAGGTTATAATCATGACTAATAACAAAGTCACTTTCCCTTTCCTTTCGATGAAGATCCCTTCTTTAATGGCTTCTTCTGGATGTTCTTCTTCGGTTTTAACGTGCTCGAGGACATCCCCGGCTTGTTCTTTCGCTTCTTGTCCTTCTTGACATTGTACATGTTAACAGCCTGTGTCACAAAAATTCAATTAATAAGTGGGACTCAAACCAGATGAATACTGCAGGAGAAAACATTTGACAGCAAAAGAGATGAACCTTGTCGACGTTAAATATCTCATGGGAATTCTTGGAGATTAGCTTGTTCAGTACTTTATCTGTTTGCTCCTTCTCTTGTGATTGTTTTCCTTTTCCTTCTACAACCGGCAAAAACTAAAAGCAAAAGCCGAAAGAATAAGGGGCAGGTACTTTATCAGCTTATTGTGATGTGCAACAATTAGTTGAACATGGCTAGGATGAGAATTACATACCTTGCGGAACTTTCCTTTATGTTTAGGAGGCTTTTCACCAGGCAATTTCTTGTCAAACTTACCACCGCTGGCCGTTGCGGTTGCTGCTATTCCAGCTACATTACCCAGTTCATCTTTAGAAAACTTCTTGGCTGCAGACTGGGTTCCCGTTATGGGCAACCGTGTGGCAGCTAGCTGAACATGGCTGTAGAATAAGTTTAGTTAGATTCTGCGGTGCAATGCAAAAGATACATTCAAGGATCACTAATACTTTCCTGAAGTGTGATTTCAATATAAAGGCTAGCTTATCTCATTTTTCTGGTTAAGGCTCAGCTTATATTGATTTGTAGTTATCGATTGCCCCATTGGATGGCTAAGCAGCTAGGCTTTGAATAACATGAAGAAGTATAAGGACAAACCTTGGTAAAGCACCGACTTTCGCAGCTTGCTTCAAGTTCTGCAACCTATTCTTATCTTGCTTTTCAACTCTTTTCTTCTTATCCTCTCGCCTTTTAGCAAAAGGATCCTCCCCTGGCACTGAAAAGAGTAACAAGCATGGGCAAGATTATCTCGAGTCACCTTGGCAAAGCAAAGCATGCATTTCAGTGCTTACGAAAGAAAATAATAACTCTTCTGAAAGCATTAAGGCTTTTAAAAAATTACCATCATTCTCCTTCGCCTCAATGATAGGTACACTATTCTCATCATTTGCACGATCATATCCAAAGCGACGTTTCCAAGTTTCAGTCGGCTCATCATATGCAATCTTGTCTCTTTTACGGTTCTTGATACCTACAATACATATCAAAAGAATGTAAGCACCACATATAAGTTCAGCTTAAGGATATTCCAATTTCTAAAAATCTTAAATCCAACTACCTTTCTCAAGGCCCAAATGCCCACATATGAGAAACCTAGACAAAGTCTTAAAGGGGGAAGAAGAAAGAAAAAAAGAAATAGAAGAAAGGTACTGTTCGACTCATACAGTAACGACTAACCTTTTGTTTTGGCAAAAGTTTCCCATTTTGTTGGAGGTTTAGGCACTGGCAGCTGTAGAAAACAAAAGAATATGCCATTGGCAAGTCAGATGTTT